ACAAGAAAAAAGCGGGAAACGTGTTTAAACGCGTGGCGACACGAGAGGCGACAAATTCCGATGGCGCGCCCATTAAACGTCATTCTCCATCGGCATTTCGCCGACTATGAACCCTCTTTATGGCGAAATGAACGCGGACAACTTTCAATCCATTGTCCATTCAATTCTTCCACCGCGATGGATCCTCCCTCTTCCGCAATTTTAATCTTAACGTTTAAAGGTTTCCAAGAGATGGATTTTTTTTCCTTTCTTTCCTTTTCCATATTTTTCTAGTTTAATTCGACGGATTTGGGATTGTTTCACGATTTGTATTTAAAGATCGGAGATGAATGGTCTTTGATATTTTTTGTGACCATAGTAATGATCTTTTAGGGGGGCGTTTTTCATGGAGATTACGATGTGATTAAAGGTGAGGCTGATATTTAGGGAGGCGTGGTATTTAAGTGACCCTTGCCAGATTTTTGTTCCAGCCAATTTTAAACGTTTATGTTGGGCTGATTTTGATACGAGCAAGCAAGTTTTTTTTTAAAATAGTATAGGAATTAACGAATAATAATAATATTAATAATATATTCAATTATTTCTTCTACATATTATATTATAATCATTGGAACATGGATAATGAATTTTTGGCAGATTCGAATGGTGAATTTCGTTCACTTCAGAATAGAGTTTGTGCACACAATGCAAAATTTCAGTTTATTTGTACGTATCCGTGTTCTAACTATTAAATATAATTCTAAAAGCGTGCTATGTAAAATGTAATTAGCATAATTAAAAAAAATACTCACTTTGATGGATCCACGGTGATAAAATCTGTATAGAGCTTCAACAATTCACCCCCAACCACGTATCCTAACGCAGGTCCTATTATGGCCATTGTGTAGAAAATTCCTAAACAGAAAAGGATATTTAAAATCGTTTGATGGTTTGTAAAAATTTAATGTAAATTATTTATTAAAACTCGAATATTATAATGATTTATTATTATGATTATTATGATTTATTATACAAAAAATTTAATTTTATAAATAAATGTTGAAAAAGATTTCTGTAGTTTACTATACAAAGATAATAGTTGAAGAGAGCATAAAGCGTAATTTCAAATTTCTTAAACAATTAAATTCTTAACATCAATTATACGTTGATTGTCCTATACAAGATGGCACTTGAAACTTCAAACTTCAAAAGTATATACAATGCTCAGAACTTGAAGCAAGCGCAACGAGTGCGGCAATAGAATGTGACAATTCTCAAAGAGCTATTGCGGGTATATCCAAGTTAAATCAAGTAAGTACTTGTCAAGTAGGTACAGTACAGTTGAAAAGTTTAGCTTATTTTATGTTGAGAGAACTTGGATCTTTTTAATAAGAAAAGTTATAAATATACAATGAATTTACATACTTAAATGAAATAACCTGTCTTTTAAATTAATATCTTCCAATCTTTTCAAATTAACAACACATATAACATTAATATTTCGCCAAGAATACTTGCAAATTTGTAATAATTCAAATAATCAATAAAAATCAGATTTCTTACCTACGTACACAGAGGACATCTTCTTCGACACGTTCTCATCTAGATACGTAACACCAAGCGTATAAAAAGGAGCAGAGCCAGCTCCATGTAGAAGTTGAGCTATCAGAAAGATACTTAAGTACAATCCACTGTATGGTTCTTGGTCTATTTGGCCCACTGATCCGCTACAAGATATCTGAATAGCAAAGATATATTAACGAATCGAGATTAATTTAATTAATAGATAAAATAATTAATATTTTATCTTTTCCTGACCTTTCTTAAAAATCTTAAAATATTTTATTAGAATTAAAAAAAGAAAAACCGATTGGCTTGAAATATTGTTTATATCGATCTAATTTTTTTGTTCCAAGGAAAAAGTTAATGGGTTAAGTGTACGAAGTTTTTGATCGATCGTGAAGATAAGTAAATTATCTTTATACTTTTTAAATTTAGTTACTCGAAATAAGAATTAATTCGACGATAAATTAAGGCATGTACGAAGATGACATTCTATTAGTGTATGTAAAAGGATGGATCTTGCTTTTACAAAGGACGAGATCCATAAACTCTGTCACTATCCTTTACATCTAATTGAATGTTTACTCTTCAAAGATCAAAGACACAAGTCTTCCAGTAATTGAATATCGGGTAATAAAATAATTAGATTAAAAAGATAAGTATATTGCTCGTCGAAACAATTTATTCCGAATTAATATTTGTCCAATGTTTATTTTTATAAAAATATTACTCAATTTCTTCTTCGCGATATTTTTCGAAAAATTTATTTCAAATCTTACAATTTTATAACAAAGATCAGCAAAAAATGCCAATCTTTAGAATCAATCATCACTTACCGAACGGGAGGATGTATTCGTCACCCTTTGACAAATATTTTCCGACTGTTGGCCACCCCTGTATGGTCCGGCAATATAATGAGGGGATGCGAAAAGGAGACTTCCTAAGCCTAAGACTAGAACACCTATTCCTATGTACCTATAGAACAAAAATTAATCCAAAAATCTCGTTTACTAACTTCTCAAAAAAAGTATTATATTCTTATTTATTAACCAATTAATATACGAGTCCAATTTTTTCAAAAATTTCATTCAAAATCGACAAATTTTTAAACAAACGAAATTTCTTCAAAAATCTCTTCTTCTAGGATAATAAATATTCAATCTTTCATTTTCGAGATTAGCCTCGTTCAGTTTAATTCAAATTGTTATTGATTATCGATCAAGGATCGAGGGTTTCGAAAGTGTCGAAGGAACTGGAAATGGAAATTAACGCTGTTGGTCCGGCTGACGTTAGGATTAATATTTATGAGAACTGTCGAGGTGGATCGATATCGATATTAATATTAATAGGCGTGACAATAGTTTATACGCGAATAACGTGTTCGAGCGCATATGTACCTCGGTTTCGACGCTTTCGAGCGTCCTCCTAGGAAGCTGACTGGAACGAGGGTAAGGAAACTGGCTATGTCGTATCCGCCTGCTATCAGCCCTGTCTGAGACGACCTCAAACCGAATCTCCTCTCTATCGTGGTTATGACCACGTTCACGAAACCGTTCACCACCATCCCTGAAAACGCACTATATTAGCATTATATTAGAATAAAATTCTTATTCAGAGTTTGTGGACATTGAAAATGAAATACTTTTATTTATTATTAATCCATAATGAATCCAGATCTTTTTAAAAAATCCCTTTATCACAATAATTTAATAGATTAAACTGGATAATTTGCTTAAAAGCTCGCGTCTCGAACTAACATAATTTAATCCCTAATAGCTGGAAGGAAAAAAAAAAGAAAAGAAAAGAGTCTCTCTAGCTTTTTCATTAAAAAATTCAACCTCCAATCTCATCGAACAAACGAGCCTAAACCTTCGAACGATATTATCGATACTATCCATCGATCCTGGCCAAGTTAAACATTCAGGATACGATCGATAGGAATATCGGGGCCATCCTAATAATAACTCGATCCCCATTCTCAAATTCGAAACACAGTTGATCTCCCTGATACGCATACTCGAGAGCAAATCCGCGTGCCGCGTGTAAATGAATCAAAAGGGGGGTGAACTAATTCAATTAAGTCTCCCCTACGCCCAGTGTCCCGCTCACCCTCCAAGAAATCCCTCTCTCTCTCTCTCTCTCTCTCTCTCGAACCTGTAAATCTGTTAAACAGTTCTTTCTCACGAATATACACATAGGCTGCTAATCGCCTCTGAATCGAACCGGTGCCCACGCTCCGATGGTACGATGGAAGCAGGCGTTGACAGGGCGTCGAATTACAAACCAGCGGAGCCAGTATCGTCGTAGCAGTATCGTCTGACAAAAGCGTTCAACCGTTCTCTGACAATCGAAAAAATGAATCTTCTCTCTGGGAGAATCCTCTCGGATGCGACGGTTCGAGGTTTCCGCGACGCGGATCCCTTTTGATGCTTGGATTCCGCCGGGGTTGTCGTTTTAACGAGCGGATTGGTTACGGTTGGTGGGAGAGGAAAAAAAAAAAATTGGAATTATTTTTTTCAATGGTAGAATAGAAATTTTTTTCTCTCGTCTTTTAGATTCAGATTGTTTAGAAGGTATATAATATAATTAAATATAATATAATTAAATATAATATAAATAAATATAATATAATTTGTTG